ATGCACTTTGAACTTGAGGTGATGGTGTTAATGTGTGGGGCTCTCTAAGACCAATTTTTGACTGGTAGGAACAAATGTCCAGATTCTACAAGATGGAATGTTAGGAGGCCAAAATAAAATTCTGAATTTAGGGGAAAATAAAAATTAATTGTCCAAATATATGATGGGAGACTTGGGTTTACAGTAATCCTTGAAAAAAAAAAAGACTGGAACAGTTCAGTTGAAAAGTGGGTATAAAGTTAGACTAATAAGGTAATTATGATGACTGTGTCATGGAATTTAATAATCTGAGAATCAGCTACTACCTTACAGACTGTGGTACAAAAGTTTATTTTTTAAGAAATTAAATATGTGGTATTGGAGACCACATATTGGTTATTGCATCCAAAAGACCCAGAAGATTTTTATAAGAAATAACATTATTCAAATAATAATTATTTGTAGTTGGGAGTCTGTCTGTCTCCCAACGTGTACCTTCCACACTCTATAAAGCCAGCTCTGTTGGATAAAAGTGGCAGCTTTCAACTCAATAGGGAAGAACTTTATATAAAAGAAGCCACTGGCATCTACTGCTATAGTGAGCATCTCATCATATCTGACCGTCTTAGCCCAGTACATTGTTGAAATGAAGGATATTGTAGAAGGTATTCTTGAATGGTCTGGGAGGTACTCACTGACTCTTAAGATTTTATGAATTATAAGATGTAAATGCTTTGGAATGTGATACCTGCAAGTTAGTAGGATTTTTGCTTTGGCTCTACACTGTGATGTTGCTACAGGAGGTTGGTAACAATCTGTCAGACTTTGACCTTGCTTTGACTCCACTTGCAAAATTCTGCAGTTCTTGCCCATGATTGCCGTGATCTCCAATATCCGGGTAATTACATCCAAAAGACCCAGGAGATTTTTACAAGAAACAGAATTATTCAAATAGTAACTATATGTAGCCAAGGTTCTTCAAGGACTTGTTGGCTTATTATTTTATATATTTTTTGGCATGAAAATACGAACTCAACAACTTTCTAACTTAGTGTGTATTAAAGGCAGGATCACATAGTTAGAAGATAATTTGGCCAGATTAGGTTTGTCTTTTATCTCTTGACTGGAAAACACTCTTCGAATAGGATTATATATGATGTGGACAATTTTTACTCCCCTTAATTTTTAGTTTCCTTGCCTCTAATTCTGGTGCTCAGTGTAGCTTTGAAAACCCTTGTGAGTTTCGCAGTGAAAGGAAATGTTTGTAAAGGCCATGAAGGTTCACTTAGATCTTATTTTAGTTCATAACAGTGCCCTCTACTTCTTGTCCCTGAGATGAAAGAACAAAGCAGTATCAGCAACCTTGACTTGATTTATATGTAGGATAGTTCCTGTCATGAGAGGAGTAACAAGTAAGCCCTTTTGTGAGTACATATTTAATAGAACCCAGTGGTTCTGGATCTGAAGGACATATTTTATTGTATAGATTGGCTTTGAGCTATGCAGAAAGGTCACCCTGGGAATATCCTATCTGTCAATTTAGATTTGCTTGTGTTAGAGGGAATCAAAGTGATAGATGGAATGACTGGAAAAAACAAAACCAAATAGAAAAACCTAACCAAACAAAACATTTCAGTCCTTCGAATGCATGTAAGAGAAACCATTTGGCAATAGTGTTGGGAGCCTTTCATGGAGCATATCTCCTGCGTTTTAGATGAATAGCTGAGAAAAGAAATCATGTTTTTACTTTAGAAAGGAAGTAAAACCAGTGAAAAGGAGAGAGAAGCAAGACAGTAAAGGGCTAAACCATAGGGATATGTGTCTTTATATATTGACTAGGAGCCCGGTGCATGGATTCGTGCACTGGTGGGGTCCCTTGGCCTGGCCTGCGGGGATTGGGCTGAAACCAGCTCTCTGACATCCCCCGAGGGGTCCCAGATTGCAAGAGGGTGCAGGCCAGGCCAAGGGACCCCACTGGTGTATGATTGGGGCTGGGGAGGGACCACAGGATGACTCTAGGGCATGTCCTGCCCGTCTTGCCCAGTACTGATCAGCTGGACCCCAGCAGCAAGCTAACCTACCGGTGGGAGTGTCTGCCCCCTGGTGGTCAGTGCGACTGGTCAAATGGTTGAACGAACGGTCGGACACTTAGCATATTAGGCTTTTATTATATAGGATATGTCATCTATGTGACTGTTACGACTAAACGACTGGTCAGCCAGTTGCTATATGTGCACTGACCACCACGGGGCAGATGCTCAACGCGCTTCCATAGTCAACCTCCAACCTCCCATGGCCAGCCAACCTCCCCCGATCCCTCCCCCCGGCCAGCAAACCTCCTGCGGTCCCTTCTCCCATCCCTCCCCCTGTCCCACTGGCCCTGTCCAGCAGCAGGCAGGCCCTGTCTGGCAGCTGGCAGGCCCCCAGGCCCTAATTGCAGGCCCCCAGACCCTGGCTGGCAGCTGGCAGCCGGCAGCCCCCAGCCGGCCTGGCCCCTATTAGAACTGGGTGAGACAGCCCTGATAGGCCCTGATCGCCGGCCAGGCCTAGCATCCCCACCCATGCATGAATTTCGTGCACTGGACCTCTAGTACCATAATAATCGTAATTTATACTTTCATTTGAAAAGATATTCAAATAATATTTTTTCACTTAATACACCTTGAATAATGATTTTTTCAAGGTAAAAATAGGTTTTAAAGAGTAAAAATAATTTAAAAAGTAAAGAAATTTATTTTGATTCCAATTAAACTATCAAAAATGTGCTACATTTAACAACGTGTACTCTGTCTTTGCAATCAACAATGTCATTAGGTTTTATATAAAACTCTCAACATTTACAGTAGTTTTTAGTAGATGAATAAGTAATATATGATAGCTACTTGAAAACATGGATAGAGTAATCTTAGGACACTCAACACATAAGTTGTCTTTTTTCTCCTCATTTCAAATTGGTTATTATAATTTCCTGAATTGACTAGAAAAATGTTTCAATGCTATACACAAAATAATTAGTATGCATTAGTGTTTTTAATAATAGTCAACTTTGGAGTATGTAATTTTACTTAAATGCTTTCATAGATTATTAAATTTGTCATAAGTGTTTTTTTTAGACTTTTTGAGTATTTCTCTTTGTTTTTAATATCAAACTTTGCTAAAGACACATGAAAGAATTATAAGTTTTGTAAGTATATTTGATGAGAATCATATTTGAAATCCACTATTTTCATTATGTGCACATTTTTATGTTAAGTCACTGAGGACAGCCTGTTGGCAGATTTCCATTATTCTCAAGAATACTTCAAATATCCATTTTTATTGTCAAAGAATTGTGAAGCATAGTCATGTGGCATAACATCTGAAGAGCAGCAAGGTTTCTGGACTTTTCAGTATTTGTCTCTATTAAAAAAAACCAAATTACATTATTAGTGTAACAATTAGAGTATGTCAAGAATCAATTAGGATAATTGTTTAGTTATAGGATGGTTGTGTGTGTGTGTGTGTGTGTGTGTGTGTGAATCTCTCTGCTGGGTATCAGGTGTACAGTGTGGAAGAGCCTTGGTGAAGCACTGAGCTTTTCATTGACACACTCAGAGAGAGATCATGATTCTCTTTGAATATATACGTAACACATTTATGGGTACAGGAAAAGGATCCAGTAGAGTGGGAGAGGTTGAAGAGCAAAGAGATGCTGATTTTATGGTGTCAGGCCAGTGGGAGTTGAGAAAAGCTAGTAAGGGAATGGGGGTAGACTCTCAGGGGAAGGAGCTGGGAGGAAACATGAGCCCTACCCTGAGATTCTGATATCTCTTAGGGGCTGGAGGCAGGGGTATAAGAAAAACAATAGTTCTTTCCTCTAGAATCACTGAGATTCAGAGGAACCTTGAAGGGATTGATTCTGGATAAGAGAGATACCATGAAAATGTACGCTCACATTCATTCATTCATTCATTCATCCATTTACTCATTCATGCATCCATCCATTCATTCACCTATAAATCCATCATCATTCCATTCATAGAGCCAATCAGCAAATTAAAGAGGAAACAATTATTCGCCCTTACATCTACAATAATAAATAGAGAAACTAAAATGAAAGTAATATTCTCTATTTCTTTTTTTGTTTTAGTGTCTATGGGTATCATATGGAATATCAGGATCCTTCCTAGGGGAAGATTCTTGTTTTCCTAGCCTGCAAATATGAGAAATTATAGAAGAAAATGGGTAATAGCTAAGTGGGAAGATTTTTGCATTGATAGTAATACACATTTCTGTGGACTATACATTTATTTTTTTATTTTTTGAGAATTTATTATCTTTATTTTAAATATGATTTATTTAATTGTAAGTATACATAAATTTTTAAATTACACTTATTATCAATGTCTTCTCAGAGCTGCTTCTTTCTTTTTATAACTATGCCAATTTATATTAGTTTCTTTTCTGTACAGGAAAGTAAATTGCCTCCAACTTTCTTCTCCAATCAAAATCCTCAAACAATACCCCAAACAAGTAGAGATGTGTCAGATGTCTTACAAAGTCCTACCTGGCTCCTCATCTGAGTCACCATTAACAAGAACAGGGAAACTATGGGCTCTGGCTGCCTCAGGGCCATGGTGTCATGGAAGTCAAAGGACTTGAGTACTGTGATATCTCACCAGCTTGGCCATTCCTTTTCACTAAGACTCCTGATCAAATGCAAAGCCTCCAGGGCGGAATGATTATTTTAGTCATGGATATGCTAGCACAGATTGATTATTTGGAGGACCTGAGCTCAGACAGCACGACCTCCAAGACTTGGAGAATATCTCATTTCTCTGTCGGTGGACTTGACACGACCTCCAACACTTGGTGAATATCTCACTTCTCTGTCGGTGGACTTGACACCTTGGTCCTCGGAGGGCTACCGCTGATACTAGGAAGAGGGCCTGAAATCTCACGCACTCTCTGGTTTTAATTAGTGCCTTCCTTTAGAACATATTTTTTTTAAATTAATAAATGTATTTTGTTTTTGTGCACAGGCAGCATGTCAGCTGAAACACCAGTCACACTGAATATTGACCCCCAGGATCTGCAGGTCCAAACATTCACTGTAGAGAAGCTACTGGAGCCTCTCATAATCCAGGTATTAATTGCATGGAAATTACAACGTAGAGTAACTGCAGAAGAACTTAAAAAATGTGGGAAAAATAGATAATGAACCAAGAGAAGCTTTGATTTTTATAAAATGAATGGCATTAACTTTTGAACAATAATAGATACAGAGGCAGAGCTGCCTCAAACAGATTGTCAAACTGCAGTGGGAAGGCCGGGGAGGGTTGGGGGGCAGGAGGGAGGGGGGTAAGAGATCAACCAAAGGACTTGTATGCATGCATATAAGCTTAACCAATGGACATAAGACACTGGGGAGTAGGGGAGGCTAGGGGACTTTCAAGGGCAGGGGGGGGGCGGAAGGACACATATGTAATACCCTTTGTAATACTTTAAGCAATAAAAAATAAAAAAATATATAACATTAAAAAAATGAATGGCATCTAAAATTATCATTTAAAGTATTGTTAAAATGTAAAAAAGTCTGTATTTAGTAATAATAATAAAATTCTGAAAGCTCTCCCCCCTGATTTTCTTTTAAAAGCAACAGCAGTAATATGTATATGTAGTTTTCAAAGCACCTATATATGTAATATATTCTCTGGTTATATTGGAAAACATTCCAAAAGAAGTTAATGATCTTTAAATGGATAGTACCACTAGATAAAGCTATCAATTTAGTAGCCACATTAGAAAAATTCTCACCTTTCCTTATTATTTACCTTCATTTTATATTCCTTTGCATTTACGGTTTCATGGATATTACTTACCACCTCTGTGTATAACTCAAAGTCAAAATTACATTTTAATTTTTGGAGTAATTGGTCACAATACTATTTTGTTACTCTGACTTCTAAATTCATTTATTCGTAAATCTTTTTTCTGCTCTTCTTATAGTTACCAGAGCCTTCCCCACCAAACTTGATTTATCTCTAATCTATTTTTTCCTTTCTGGGCACAGGTAAATCACTAGGTCATTTTGCAGGAATGCTCAGCCTGGGATATCTTTCAGTCATTCACTTCCATTTTTTCCTGTGTGGTAACTTACAAAGTTGCATCCCTCTGTAATAAATTCCTCCAATGGATCAGAAATATTTTTCCTCAGCAATTACATTTTTATGATTGCAGCTGTAGACATCTGCACTTTATCACTTTCAAGAGCCAAGTTTGGCAATGCATTTATGCAGAATTACGATGAAAAGAATTTACATCTCTATGTTGTATACTCTCTGAAGGAGACATAAACTTCTAGATCGTGCTACAGTCATTACATAATGGAAATGTCTATAATCTTATTTGCCACAAAATATGATTTGCTATGTGTCAGATTCATGTTGAATATAAGCTAAAAGAATTGACTTACTCAAAATCCTTTAGGCTAAAAATAACAAACTCCTTAGAATATGTTATGTCGTATAAAGTGTTTTTTTGTGTTTTTTTTTTTGGGGGGCGGGGACGACAAAGTTTCAAATGTATTTTCTGATGTAAACATATCCCATGTTTTCAGGAGATAAATACAGAGTTATATCAATAGTAATAAACATTATTCCTCTGGCTCTCACCTCTAACTCTTCCAGTTTCTGCTTAGAACAGGCACTCAGGGACCCATCCCAACATTTCTCTTACCCAGTTGTACAGGGTTAAGAGAACAGGATGAATCATACCAGGGTCATGAAAATGTTCACCCGGATGTGACATGTCAAAGCAAGTGATGTGGTCAGTGTGGATGCTGGCTGTTTGATCCTGCCCTGTGCCCAGGGGATGGGTACATTAGTGAACAGCCCCCATCACAGTCGCCTTCGCATGGCCTTCATTTCAGGGTTTCTTTTTTGCCACGTCTTCATTTGCTGTCAAGTCACCTTTCCACCCTGGTCACAGCTGACGTTATGCGGGGGGTGGCGGGGGGTGGGGGGGTGGCGGGCACCTGGCTTATGGACACTCAGGTACAGGTTGGCAAGAAGCCTATGAGGCAGGAGAGCTGTGCCTCTGGGCATAATGGTGAATTGGTCCTGTCACCATTCTCTTTGGGAAACTGACTCTATACCGAGAGCTAAAGCAGTTGGTACCTAGGGTTACAGTTTTATCGTTGCAAATGCAAAGCTAAAAGATGCACAGAAGTAGAGACATGGGGGAGAGTTCTGGTGAAGCAATTTTCCAATTCAAGTCCCCTAAGTTTCTGCTGTTGAGGGACAATAAGATGAACTGGTCACCAAGGTTTCAATGGATGATTCCAATTTCCAAACCACAGTTTAATCTCAGAATTATACTTCAGCCGCTGTGGGGTTTCACAGTTTCCTCGAGCACCGGCCATGCTTGCTTTTCTTATGTAATCGGATTCCCTGGCCTCCTACCTCCTCATCGGTGGCTGGAAGTTCAGAAGAACTCCCATTGGCAGTAGCAATCCAGGGTTCCTGTGATTGCCCTCCTTGTGCTGGAATAGAGGTTTCCCTGCAAAGCCTCCAAATGTTGGGGAATCTGAGGTATGACTTACCTGTGCTCCCAAACCAGTCTGCCTGCCAAGCTTTTCCATTTCACCCGGCTTCATTTTGTTGATGGTGGACAGTAACCGCCAATGATGCCCATTGTGAGACTGAAAATGGACACGTCAGCGTGTCCGTGCCCCAGCTGCCTCCACAGCTGTGAATCCTCAAGGTGGTGAAAAGGCACTCGGCTCCCCCAGAAGAGGGTAGAACGCCCCTCCTCCCAACTGTGCTTCACTCATCACCTGGGCCCGTGAAGCAATGACTGGAGTGGGTCCCGTGAAGCAATGCCTGCACCTCCAGGCACACAACAGTCCTTAGGAAAACAACCCCTTCCATCCCCTTTGGGCCCCTAGTGGCTGGAGGGTGAGTAGTTAGTCCTTCCTCCTCCTTTTCTTTCCTCCCGGCTCCCAGGCAGAACCTCTCTGCCACACCCCACTCTCAGCATTGTTTCTTTCTCCCCTCCTTCGGCCGAGGGAAAAACCAAAAAGAAAACAAAAGCAACCATGAATATAAATTTATGCAAATATAGATGCCTAGATGCCCACAGGGTTCCTTTCCTTCTGTTCCACAGACAGATCTGATGGACTTTCAGGTAGCAGAAGAGGGTGTGCTCTGGCTTTCTAGCCTCCTAGATTATAATTTCCTTTGTTTCTTTCAGTAAAGGATTCAAGTTGCATTTGTTTGTGCTTTTTTCCCCTGTCGTTTCAGTAGGCCATTTTGAATGAGCATGTTGGCATTTACTTAAATTTCCTTGGTTTTATCTCCCAAGTTTTTTTTTTTTTTTTGGTAGCCTCGATAATTAATCGATTACTAGAATTTATATCAGAATTAATCTTGAAGGTTCCAAGGAAATCTCAAAGTCAAGTGTACACACATGCAGTATTCTTATAAATTATAAACAAATATTAGAATTTTGATTCTAACCTTAACAAAAACCCTTAAAAGTTAGTAAATTAAATGTTTTTTAAACACTTATAGGCTCAAGACTCAATAAGTATGAAGATGTTATTTTTATGGTAGACTGAAGAAATAAACTTAATTCTACCTCAATAACATTTTAAACCTTAAGGTAACTCAGTATAGTTGAGTTGATTCCAATAAAGTGAATTCTTCTATTTGTGCATTCTTTTACTGCCTGAAAACTGCTCCACTGGGAAAGTTCTTAGGCTATAGTATTTCTTGAGAAACAGATAGCCGAGAAGGAAGCCACTCTTAAAATAAGGGTAAGAAAACGAGTAGCTAATTGATTAAAATAGTGTGAGTCCTGCTGGAGTATGCGTGGCTGCGCATACAAAGGATGCCCCCTCTCCCTCCCCCCCCCCCCCCCCCCCCCCCCCCCCGAACCTGGTACCTTGAAGATGAGCTGTGGGCAGATGTCAGTCTCTGCACATGCTTCACCTCTTCTCAGCTTGCTTCAGGGACCTTTTGTCAGACTGATTTTCTTTCTCCTCGTTCCAATGTTGCTGCCCTGTTGTTCTGGGTTCTCTGACCATCCCAATCCACTCCACTTCTGCTAATACTTTATCTTTCAATCCCAGTTCATCTATTCCCCACAAATATCCACCTCTAGCTTAGCTATAGAATTAAGATCTTTCTCTTTTTTATTTTTTTAAAAATATTTTTATTAATTTCAGAGATGAAGGGATAGGGAGAGAGAATCATTGATCCGCTGCCTCCTGCATGCCCCCCCCCCCCCCCCCCCAGTGGAGATGGAGCCTGCAACCCGGGTGTGTGCCCTAACAGAATGGAACCTTGACCTCCTGGTTCATAGGTTGATGCTCAACCACTGAACCACACAGGCTGGCTCTTTTTAATCTTTTTTTAAATTTTTGGTTAATCTTTACCTGAGGATATTTTTTTTCCATTGGTTTTTAGAGAGTGGAAGGGAAGGATAGAAAGGGGAGAGAGAGAGAGAGAGAGAGAGAGAGAGAGAGAGAGAGAGAGAGAGAGAGGCATCAATGTGAGAGACACACATCAATTGGTTGCCTCATGCACATGCCCCAATCAGGGCTGAGGATTGAACCTGTAACCCAGGTACATGCCCTTGACCAGGAATTGAACTCCCCCTTCGGTGCACAGGCTAATGCTCTAACCACTTAGCTCACCGGTCAGAGCAAGCACTTTCTCTTATAAACTAACTCTATAGAGAGCCAGGTAGTATAGATTGATAAGTCCAGATCCCCTTGCCCTTTAAGTGGAAAATTGCTAGATTGAAGGGAGCAATTGTGGTTCAGCTGTCTGAAAGGATAGAATAGTCCATGTCTCCCAGATGTGGTCATTTTTACTGCTTGAGGCGTGAAACTACCTTTTATAGAATGCCCTGGACTGTTTGAGAGCACCCTGCTTGTCTCAGGAGATACTCTGCAGCTGACAAATTTATGACCCTAGGGCAATGATGGCGAACCTTTTGAGCTCGGCGTGTCAGCATTTTGAAAAACCCCAACTTAACTCTGGTGCCGTGTCACATATAGAAATTTTTTGATATTTGCAACCATAGTAAAACAAAGATTTATATTTTTGATATTTATTTTATATATTTAAATGCCATTTA